ATTGTGAATGAAATGGTCCGAGTTGGGGGGAGATTTTCATTTCCATCTTGTCGTTTTCCCATCGGAGCAGAGTTTTTAACCCTGAAAAGTCTCTTTCAGAAACACTAAATCATGTAGAGTTTATCAGGAAGTTTCCCAGGAATCCCCGCTGAATTTACTCAACAGTTTTTATATGTGGACATCCTTTGTATTCAGCTAAAAACAACGTTTCCGTTCTTAAACGTGTGCATATTTATCATATATATATATATACACGTTTTTATATATTTATATTTAATATTTGTACAATTATTGTCTTATTGTGATGAAATGGTCCGAGTTGGGGGGAAATTTTCATTTCCATCCTGTCGTTTCCACCCTGAAATCTTTCAGAAACACTAAATCACTCACTAAGTTTATCGGGAAGTTTCCCAGTCTGAATTTACTCAACAGTTTTTATATGTGGACACACTTTGTATTGAGCTAAAAACAACGTCGCCATTAACAACTCGTGCATTTTTATCATATATTTACACGTTTTTATTTATCTTTAATATATGTACACATATTGTCATATTGTGATGAAATAGTCCGAGTTGGGGGGAGATTCTCATCCCTCCAAACAGTCGGCAGCTCCATCCTGTCGTTTCCCCTAAAAATTCAGCTAAAAACGACGTTTCCATTCTTCAACTTGTGCATTTTTTTCATATATATACACGTTTTTATATATCTATATTTGATATTTTTACACATATTGTCTTATTGTGATGAAATGGTCCGAGTCGGGGGAGATTCTCAAACTTCCATCCTGTCGTTTCCACTCTAAAAAGTCTCTTCCAGAAACACTAAATCACTCACTGAATTTATCGGGAAGTTTCCCAGGAATCCCCGTTTTTTTTCCCGTCCCTCCTCTCGTTTTTCCAGACCGGGCCGGAGTTTTCCGGCTGTTTTTTCCCGTTGAGCGGCTGATTGCCTGATTAGGTTTGATGATGATGTTTCTGATTAGGTTTTTCTGATTTAAGCACCGGCTGAGTGGGACGTTATGGTTCTAACGCAGATACGAGAGGAAAGCCGTTTAATTCCTCTGAACTCTGCATGAAAACACGAGATCAGTTTCCTCTGATTGGAGACAGCGAACGGCAATTGAGCCGCGAGCTAATGAGTTATCGCCTGATAACGAGTTATCAGGCGATAACTGCCAGCGGGAAGAGGGAGGATCTGCTGGCAGCCTGAGGGAAAACACCAGGAAAATATCCAGGAAAACCGCCAGGAAAACCATCAGGAAAAGAACCAGGTAACGCTCCGGGAAAAGCTCCAGGAAAAGCATCAAGAAAATCTCTGGGAAAACCAGGAAAAGCTCCAGGAAAACCACCAGGAAAAGCTCTGAAAAAAAGCACTAGCATCAGGAAAAGCATCAGGAAAAGCATCAGGAAAAGCATCAGGAAAAGCCTCAGGAAAACCACCAGGAAAACCTAGAAGAAAACCGCCAGGACCAGGAAAAGCACCAGGAAAACTATCAGAAAACAAATCAGGAGGCCTACCCGGAAAAGCACCAGGATCAGGAGAACCACCAGGAAAAGTACCAGGAAAACCTCTAAGAAAAAAATCAGGAAAAGCACCAGGAAAAGCTCAGGGAAAACCAGGAAAACCTCCAGGAAAGGAACCAGGAACAGGAAAAGCACCAGGAAAAGAACCAGGAAAACCACCAAGAAATCCGCCAGGAATAGCCCCTGGAAAACTATTAGGAAAACCATCAGGAATACCACCAAGACCAGGAGAACCACCAGGAAAATCACCAGGAAAACTACTAGGAAAAGCACTGCGAAAAGCATCTGTCTTTTTGTCTCTTTGTCCCTGCAGCTGTTCTGTCATTAGCGTCTGCTGTTAGCTGTTAGCTGTTAGCTGTTTCAGCTAACAGCTAACAGCTAACAGCTAAATCTCTCCTCGTGAGAGATTTACTTTGTCACTTTCATCAGTATTGTTTTGTACTTTTCTCCTTAGCCTCGTTCGAGTGCTTTTTCAGTTTGTACTTTGTCCTCCGTTATTGGAGCGTTTTGTGTTGCCTTTGTCCACTCCTTTTGAGTGCGCTTTTTGTTAATAAATTTGGATTCTGAAACTAGCTCTGCTCCTGAGTCCTCGCTGAGTTCCTGAGCCTGACAGATCCCTGACTCTCCTCATCTCTTTTTTTAACGCTGTAATTTGTGTGAACTGTGTGGAGCCTCTCCTCAGAAGCCGACTGAGGCTCTGAGCTGCTCCCTAAACCGACTGCCGTCAACACCTCGGCTTCACGCGCCTGAACCCCAAATCCCGCTCCTGTTAGCAACAAACCGCTCCGGTGTAAAGAGCTCCGAGGAGCAAAACACCATCCTCTGGTTTTAAACGACATGAAAAAAAGCACCTTAACTCATTGGCTGCCAAAGTCGTCTATAGAGTCTTTTCTGTTTTTAACGAGAGTGTCTGGGGGACGATCTGCTAAAG